ATACTCCCCCTCACGCAATACCTTGTAGTTCTCTTCCAATGGTGTCTTGGCTTTCTTTCCTCCAAGGTCTCCTGCCTCCTTTAAAATATCCAGAGTATATTTTCTTTGAGATAGGAACAGTCCCTCCTTTGATCTACACATCTCAATGCCAAGAAAGTATCTCAGCTCTCCTAGATCTTTTATATCAAATGCAGCCTTGGGGAATGACTTGGTTGAGATGATTCCTTCCTTATTACTACCAGTGATAATAATGTCATCCACATAGACAAGAATTACCATTATCCCTTGCTTGCTGGTCAGTGTGAAAAGAGTGTGGTCAGCTTGAGACTTCACAAATCCTTTCCCGTTGAGTGTTGTACTCAGCTTGTGATACCAGACTCTTGGTGATTGTTTCAAGCCATAGATTGCTTTCTTCAATCTAAGAACATTCCCTGGTTTAACCAAATCTTCTCTACCAGGAGGTGGTCTCATATACACTTCATCTTCTAGTTCTCCTTGCAAGAATGCATTCTTTACATTCATTTGCCATAGATCCCATTCAAGATTCACAGCTAGAGAGAGCAGAATCCTGATGGTATGGAGTTTGGCTACTGGTGCAAATGTGTCTAGATAGTCCTCACCATAGACTTGAGTATATCCTCTTGCAACAAGCCTTGTCTTCTTCCTTTCTGGTTTTCCATTAGCTCTATACTTAATAGTATACAGGAGGCGACTTGTCACAGATTTCTTGCCTCTGGGGAGCTCAGTTTCATACCAAGTATCATTCTTTATCATAGCCCCAATTTCATCTCCAACAGATTCCTTCCACTCATCATGCTCCATAGCTTCTTCATAGGTCTTTGGAACATAATATTGATCCAAGTTGCTGATGAAGGCCATATGCTCTTGTGGATAGCTTGCAAGAATGTAGGTTGCTTGGATAGGCTGAGCCACTGCATTGCTGTTAAAGAATACTCTGGTGTTCCTCACTCTAGTACTCCTTCTTAGCTGTTGAGTCTTCAACTCTGCTTACGAATCATTTAAGATAAGCTATCCTTCATCCTACAAGTATGTTGAAGAACATACTGAAAAGGACAAATGGGCAAGAGTTTTCTTTCCACGTAACATGTACAACTTGGATACAAGCAACATATCCATGAAGAACGTGTTTAAAGAGGAAATGACGTGGGCCTTAATACCAATGCTGGATTGCATCATCGAGAAATTCTCTGATTGGTTCAATCAACATCGGAATGATGATTTTGCTGGATCAATTGATAGAAAACTAGTGCCTCTGATTTGAGAACTACTTCTACGAGCTATGCCATGTTGCACAAAATCTACATGTGCGGGAGCTTGATAGTTATGAGTTTGACTACAAGATCACCAACACTGAAGGAAAGAAGTTAATGGCGAGCTTAGTTGAGAGAAGTTGTACTTTCGAGATGTGGGATTATGAAAAGTTTCCTTGTCTTCACGGACTGGCTGCTTACATATATTTCACTACAAACGTTGACAGGCGCATTCATATCCATGAGTTGTGCTCACAATACTACTGGGCGGAGCTTTGGGCAATGGCATATTCAAGGACACTTAATGTTGTGCCCGACAGGTCTTCTTGGAACGTACCGGATTACATCAAGAAGGTGAAAATCATGCCTTCGGGTCGCATCACACGGAAGGGAAGGAAAAGAGTTGGAAGTTAGTTATTTGGATTTAGGAGTAACGCATTTAGCATTTGTTATCTGTTTATTTTATGTTGTAGTCTTCGGAAAACTACTTAAAACTTGATTATCTACTTTGTTTTCTAATGACATTATTATCTATATCAAAACTCGGTTATCATAATATTATCTATATAAAATCCTGAGTGTGATAGTTTTACATTTGTTTTCTCTATTAAGGTTTATATTTCTAAGAAAACTCGGTCATCGCGTTTTTGAAATTTTCTTTGAACTCGTGATATATCTATTGTGAAACCTTGTAATTCCAATCACACTTTTCAATGAAGAACTTCTTAGAGATGAATTTTTGAGTTATATGTATTATACCCATATTACTGTACAGAACAATATAACTTACATTTTGAAGTACTAAAATCGAAAGTAAAACTTTAAAAAAAAGTTTTAAACCTAATACACTAATTAAATTAGAAACCAGCAAAAGTAGAACTATGACAGAATTTCGTAACATTAGTATCCTATGTATAACTAAGAACAAATTTCTGGAAAGAAATGAAAAAAAAAATTTTGGCGCCTAGACAATTAAAAAAATTTCTATCGACAGTCAAACCCCATTTCCCGAGTCTTCCATTTACCGACACCTATTTCAATCAATTATCTCTCTCTTATATTATCAACACCGGTCCAGCCTCTCCAACATCTGTAACTGAAACTTTAGTTCTCTCTCTCTCTTTCTCTCTCTCTCTCTCTCTCTCTCTCTCTCTCTCTCTCTCTCTCTCTCTCTCTCTCTCTCTCTCTCTCTCTCTCTCTCTCTCTCTCTTTGGGGGAAAAATTGAAAATGGAAAAATTGAAGATGGAAAAATTGAAGATGTATGTAGGTTCGGGATCGTCGACGAGGAGCCGGAATTCTGGTCAGGGATTCTGTTTTTGTGCTTTAAGGGACAGCTATAAAATCGTCGACCTGGGTTTTTGTCAGTCCAAGATTGCGTTATATTCTCCCGTCAAGCACAAAAACAGAATCCCTGACCAGAATTCTGGCTCCTCGTCGACGATCCCGAACCCACATACATCTCTCTCTCTCTCTCTCTCTCTCTCTCTCTCTCTCTCTCTCTCTCTCTCTCCCTCTCTCTCTCTCTCTCTCTCTCTCCCTCTCTTTCTCTCTCTCTCTCTCTCTCTCTCTCTGGGGGAAAAATTGAAAATGGAAAAATTGAAGATGGAAAAATTGAAGATGTATGTGGGTTTGGGATCGTTGACGAGGAGCCAGAATTCTGGTCAGGGATTCTGTTTTTGTGCTTCACGGGCGAACATAACGCAATCTTGGACTGACAAAAATCCAGGTCGACGATTTTATAGCAGTCCACGTTATACGGTATGAGATATGATATTGAACTTTTGATGTGAAATATAGATTTAAAAAATATATTTGGACCTTGTGGCATCTTGGAGATGGATGCGATTACTTCTCTTGGTTTGATGAAGAGGAATGTACGAAATGGCAAAGAAGAGTTTTGATTGAAGCTCGTGATGAGATCAATCGGAAGTCGGCGGTGATTGAGCAATTAACTAAAAACATCTCAGAAATGAAAAGAAATTTCGAGAACAAAGAGACAGTGGATGACGAAAATGAAGATGAGATTGTTAGAAAGTTTGTGGAATTCTATGTTTAATGTTTTGGTCTGTCTTCCTCTTGAACTCAGTCCTCGTGTTATCCAGTTTTTTTCCATTTTTTTCCAGTTTGTTTTCCATTTTTTTCCAGTTTGTTTTCCATTTCTTTGCTTCGGCGGATAAGCTTATAAATCTTTATTTTTTGGTTTATCTAAGGCTTGTAAAACTCCAATTTTTTGTTTATTTAGTTTGTGCTTGAGGATAACATGTATTGAAATTGCAACATGATTTGATGAAATTGCAACATCCCAAACATAGAGTTCTGCAAAATAATCTGACATGAAAATTGTAACTGTAATTGTAACATCAAGAAAATTATAGTTTCAAACTTCTACAAAACCAAGAAGCATAGAGTTCTGCCAAAATAACCAGACATGAAAGTTGTAACTGTAACTGTAATTGTAACATCAAGAAAATTATAGTTTCCAAAATTCTACAAAACAGAGAAGCATAGAATTCTGCCAAAATAATCAAACATGAAACATCAACAAAACAAGAAACAACTCCGACTTCCTTTCTTCCCTTTCTCTACGATGTCTTCTACCCTTCCTTCAAAAACGGATGGGAACACCATCGACAATGAACCACACTTCTTTAATTGCTTTGATAGGCTCAAAATGCTGCAAATTACATTTACTTGTACGTCAATTATACCAATAATACCAAATAGGTTTCCCAAAGTTGCTATAGTATTCTCTAGTATACCTTCCTAACTGATTTTACCTAATTCTCAATGTTTCACCAAGTAGTACCAGTATTACGTATAGTTATACCATAATTTCCAGGTTCTACACATCATCACCATAATTCCTATTTCTAGTTCCCCAAAACATGTCCAATTCAAACAAAACTAGAATTCAAAACCCAATTATAATTTGGAAATTCTCCTATTTGTTACCTCGCCGTCGTTCTCCTCCTTCTCGTCCCCATCTTTAACTCTTCCACTACGCTTTTTGAACCCTTATCTTCAAGGACATCATCCTGTATGTCATTTTCCTCTCCAGCAGTAACTGCCACCGCAGCTTCGGCGAAGATACTTATTGGCTCCGAGATTATCTCATCTATCTCAATCGTCATTGCTGGTCTCCCTTGCGACCCTTCATCCGGCCTCTCCGCCATCTCTTTCCTCCTTTTCACTCTATTGATTTTCTCCAATTTTCACACACAAATCCGCGACCAAGAATGGAAGTGAGGGAAGGAAGGAATCGGACTCTGGAAGGTACAGCTTAGAAAGAATTTCGAAGGAATAAGAAAATTAGGGAGCCAATCCAATCCAAAATTAGGGTTTTATTAACCCGGAGTAGGGATTCGGTTTGAGTTTCCTTCGGTTTTCATTTTTTAGGTTTTGTTTGGGTCACGATTTGAATTAGATTGGATTGAATTTTGGTACAACTAGGTATAACTCGTAAATAACTTAACTTTCCTACGGTTTAGTGGTCTTTTCCATACAATCCTAATTAAATAAGAAAACATATCTACGTTTTATAACGGGTCCTTGGAAGATTAATTCATTAGATGTGGGGGTATCCAAGCTTTTGACTCAAAATAAAATACTACTAGTAATGGAGCGGCTCCTTCGCGATTAAAAATTGCAAAACAATCTCCTTACCTGTTTACTCTCCAGACGCTTGTACTTATCCGAGATTATGACCTTTACCCAAATAAAAACTTAAAACATCTTCTTTTTTTTTTGAATTATAGAGGGATATCCTTGTCCAACAGAAATGATCCAAACTGGTCACGTGTGCCATGTTTCGATCCTCTATCCCTTGTGATACCAAAATATTAATTCTCCAATAGCTAAGACTTAAAACCATCTTCAATATAAAATAATTAAAAACATTAAATAGATTACTCTATTATAGAATAAACCCATTTTTATTCTATTATAAAATGAAAAACAAAAATTTCCTGTCGGATTTATATTTGAAACTCTATTTTAGCATGGAAAATAGAATGAATTTAAATAATTTCGCTAATCTTTCTATATCAGAAAGTTTGTTTTTTTCAGTTTCAGAAAAAGTGATATACTAAATAATTATGCATATTGAGGGAAAATGTCGTGAATGAGATCTTCAGTGTGATGATGTAGGTAATATAGGCCACACATGGATCTTTATAAAATATATCAAGATGATGCGGTCTCATGAAATTCTCATAAAACATGTAGAATTTTTCGTTGTATAGTCGTCAATATAATTTTTCTGTAATTATAATATCATAATAATCACTGTTAGTTTTACCTGAGATCTGAACGAAAATCAAATCAAAAATTGAATCTGTATAATTAGTGAGGTGGTATTTTGGATTATGAATATTATCAAAACTATCTGAATTTTAATTAGTATACAAAAACTTGAAATAGTTGGGCATGAATATTTGAATTATCATTAGCTTTAAAAGGATAAAACAATCAAAAAAATACTAAAAAGTTTTAGCCAGAAACGATGATTTTTATTATTTTGGGATTGATTTTGGAGAAGAAAAGAAACATGTGTAAACCTTGTTGGCGAGTAAGGTTTCGGCATCCAAAGCATTGTATGAATTCACTTCTCCATCTTTCTTTTTAATAGGTGGATTTGAAGTTACAAATGTGTGTTTAAGTATGTTTACTAGGTGGATAGTCCGCAGCTAAAGTGGCAAAAATGAGAGCTTGAATCCCACTTGTAAATAATCCAAGGAACATGAAAGGTATAGGAACCAAACTGCCAAATAAAATGCGTCCCAAACCGAAATATCACAAATACCACCTCGTCCGGAAATTAATATAACTATACATTGCATATATAAAAATTGATATGAATGTATACATTTATTGTAACTCTCTTTCTCTTCTACGTAAGTATTCCGTTTTCCCTTATATATCTTTCTATTTTATTTTCTTTTTCTTGTTTTTTCACACTAATTCGTTATGTCTCTTATGTATCTCTCTCCCCATTCTTTTTTTCCCTCATTGTACCTCTCTCGCTTGCTTTCTCTTTCTCTTTTTTTTTCTCTTGATCAAATAATCTCATAGTCTTTCAAACTTACATTCACTCTCTCACAATCATTTATATTCACTATTTTACCTCATCCATACGATAACCCTCAATATTTTACTTTCAATTTTTTCTATTTCTCTTTGGTTACAAAGTTCTTACCAGATTTTTTTAATCTTCAAAATACTCTCACATAATATTAATAAATGATTTCAGAATCTATCTCACTTACATTCAGCCTCTCACTTATTTCACTCTCATCTTAATCATGATCATAACCCTCACTCCTCATCATCAACATCTCCCCCTCTCTCACCTATTTTTTATTTAGCATTTAACATAAAACTCACAATTGAACTCACAATTGGTTAACCAAACAAATTAATTATTAAATTTTCTCCACAATGTTCAAACTATCTTATCAAATATTGATTCATTTTTACCAAGATTTTCATTAGAAAATATTTTTCATTTTTTTTTTAAAATTACTTCAATACACACCTATTTTCAGTAAATCTGATTTACTGTATTTCAAAAACTATATATTATTAACTAATTATATATCATAAAAATAAATAAACTTTCGAATAATTAGATGTCATTAGACATAGATATATCAAAATAACATGTTTCTATTTGTATAAATTTTGTTATAACTTTGTTATCATACATTTAAAAAAAAATTATTATACCACAAAAAATACTTATCATTATTTTAAATTTAATTTACGTTATATTTTGCATCTTCGACATTGACAATTTTAGAACTTATCATTTATATTTATCTTCCTTGCTAAATTTTTATTTATGTTTTATAAACAACTAAAACTAATTAATTTACAATTATATTAATACGTAAAAATTATTTCGGTATACAAATAAAAATGATGAAGGAAAAAATATAAAATAACAAAGAATACAACAAAAGGTTTTATTATTATTCACTCATGTTTTTGTTTATTTATGACTCTTTTTTCTTATTAAAAATTAACATGCCAATTTTATTACTATATGAATAGAATATTAACTCTAGTCTCGTATTAATATAATGTTCTGTTTTTTTTTAGTTTTATATAATATTATAAATTTCATTTATTAATATTTTAAAAAAAAACTTACCAAAAGTACTTAAATAATTTTTGAAAGTGATAACTGAGCTATACAATCTACTTTTATCTCAAAAAATGATTGGATTTTTTAAAACAAATTGTACGTTTGACTGTTTTACATTCATTGAAATTATTTTAAGAATACATATATATTGTGAGTGAGTATAAGACATATTATTAGGTTTAGGTTAATTAGTTTTCTATAATGTATTAGTTTCCTTTTATAACCTTAATTAAATAAATAAAAATTAAAAAACTAACAATCAATCAAATTAAGAGAATTAATTCTACATTGAACCTATAAATGACACCTAAACAAAATTCATTAAAGTGACTTCTCAATTAATATATAGGATATGAGGATAAAATATTTTTAAATAAAATTACTCTAATAATTTCAAAAATTGATAACTCAACGATAATACCACTTTGTCATTGAAAATGATTGATTTTTTTAATTATACATTTGACTATTTTAAATTTATTTGATACATTTTTAGAATATATGTATATAGTGGGTACAATTATTATTAGGTTTATATTTATTATATTATTCACTAAAAATATAACATATTTAAATATTTTTAATTAGATCATCATTTTTGTCGGAGAGACTAAGATTTGCAAATATCCGTTTATATTTAAATAATTTATAAAATGTAATCTATGATAAGAAAAAATTTCAATAAATAAATTATGTTAATTTGTTTATATTTAACATATTTGGTTGTTTATTTGGTAATAGTTAGATAAGGTAATTCTATTATTAGTTTCCTTTTAAAAACTTTAATTAAGTAAATTCCACTATATATTAAATGAGAAGTCACTTTAGTGATTTTGGCTTAGGTGTCACTCATATATGAAGTTTAGAATTAATTATCTTAATTTGATTGGTCGTTGTTATTTGAATTTTCA